ATACATCCAGTCGCGCATGATAATCTACCAATAATACAAACAGATTTCTGAAATGTCTATATAGATCTCATAGGATTGACAGTTATTATAAAAGACTTCAAAAGACTTTTGTATTTTTATCCGTCCGCTCCTGCTCAAACTACTACTGATGTTATCGACAGGTCTGTTTAATATTTCTGTGGGCTTTTTGACTTCTGACTTGCAACCTATAAAAAATGCTTATTAAGTTAGCTTTGGATGATTCATTACAAAAGAAACGGACAACTTTGATACAGCTCAGAAAATGATGCACAATATTTTGTCCGCTTCCGTGTCCGCTATACATGGCCATTGCCGTGAGAACCAACTTTTAAAGAGAGTTGTTCCCCTTAAGTGTGAGGTTCGATTTCCCAGCCTTATCTGTAGCCATAGAGTTATAAATAGCTCATTATTAATCGGGACGAATGTTGCTCATGCGTAAACTATAGTTGCGCACGCGCTTTTGAAATTTATTATTCTAGTTTGGCGTTCCTTTCTGTCTGTCCGTTTAGGAGGTAAGTTGACGTGCACCACATTTATTGGTCATTGTATTCGTGTCATTTTGGTAAATTATATTTCGATGGAAAGACAAAACAGAGAAAAAGAGTGCACAAGGTCTATATGTACTGATTCGGCCAAGTTCTTCCATGCACCGTTCTTTTTCTGCCTGTCTCAAAACTCAGTCAATTGAACATCCCAAAGCACAGGACGAGTTTCATATTCTGTGATGAGGCGCTCAATCTCTTCACGCGTCCATTCTGTTTCGACATATTTCAGACTCCAAGTGATGTGAAAAATATGATAGCCAGTTACTCTCGGAGATCGAACTCGTGCTATAAAACTCTCAAGTGGACGCCCAGCTTAAGATACAGACATTTAAGCCAATTATTTCAAAGTTTTTTTTTCTTAATTAGGTAATATTAATTATAGATATCTGGGGTTGGGTGTGTTGAGGACTATACTTTTATAATCCACGAAGGCAAAGGCCCAGGCATTAGACTTGAGTATTTTACTTGTCATGACACTGATACTGACAGCTATAATAGGCCATAGTCTGGTGAGTGTAAAACCCCCAATTGTCCGAATTGGGTCCGAAAAGACTAAAAAAATCTACACTAAATTTGGTCGTGCACAAATTCAAGATTAAAACATATTACACCAAAAAACAAATATTTTTAAAGAGTTTTTCTTCAGTCAAGTCAGAATATTTGTTTTTCGTGTACATCAATTCTAGTGATCCAATTCATTAAAATACTGTCTATTGATTATGATTATATTTTTAGTAAGTATACAATCGCTATTAGTCAATGAACACTTTTTGTGACCGAATGTGTCAATACAACTCTGACCAAAACAAACTCGGGCCACTGTTTATAACACACTCCGACCACTTTTCATGACTGACTCGGACCAATTTTTATACGTCCACATTATAATGTGTATTATAAATGCCATCCGTCCACAATTAGCTTGTGAACGCGATACAGGCCAAAATTTGCTTCCGATCTTAATGAAATTTTGTGTGTAGGTTTATATTCAAAAGATCTTGGACTAGTTCAAATTTGGTTTGATTCGACAAAGGATCATAGAGTTTTAACCCTTAATACAAAGAAATTATGATAAATGTGGCTTGTGAACCTGATATAGTAGTTAAATTTTTTATCCAATCTTCATAACATTTGGTGTGTAGGTTTATATCCATAAGATTTTAAACAAGATATCGGACAAGTTCAAATTTGGGATTGATTCGACATAAGATCACAGAGTTTCAAACCTTGATTCTCTGAAATTATGATAAATGTGGCTTGTGAATGCGATAGAAGCCAAATTTTATAGCTGATCTTAATAAAATTTTATGTATAGCTGATCTTAATAAAATTTTATGTGTAGGTTTATATCCATAAGATTTTAAACAAGTTCGACAAAGGATCACAGATGTGGCCTGTGAATGCGATACATCTGTTTTTTCGGATTTTTATAAAATTTGAATTTGGGAATAATTCAACAAATGATTGTGCAATTTTAATTCTTGATACGAATTGACACCATCCTTGACGACAACTCTTAAATACTGATTTTTTTTTTGGATTTTTTTTAGGAAAATCGGTGTATCTTGCAGGCCAACCACTTGTTTGTACTCGGACCAATGACTGCAAAATCGGACCAATTTCACAACACACTCAGACCACTTTTTTCAAATTCAGACCAATTACTAAATTGAAAATATTTTATAATTTTTTCCATTATTAACTTTAATAAATAAGTATTTTGTAATGGGCAGCGAAGGGTGTTATAGCACATACTCTTATATATCCGTATTCTGTAATAAACTGCCCGATGCCATTGGAAAAAGATTGGTGTTTAAAAATACGGAAAGAAAAAGCGTTAGTGAAGAAAAGTGATCTGAATTATGATCAAAGTATAAAATGTTTAGTTAAAACTTGGTCTGAGTTTGTCACGAAAAGTGATCGAGTGCGTTTTAGTCCGAGTTGTCTTGTATCCATAGGAAGACACACCCTGGTACCCCGTCACAAACAAACAAAAAGTGTTCATTGACTAATAGCAATTATACTTTTGAATCATAATCAATAGACACCATTATTATGAATTATCTCACAAGAATTGGTGTACACGAACAAAAAAAAAAAGGAAATTTTGATTCGACCAAAGAAAGAGCTCTAAAATATTTGTTTTCTGATGTAAAATGGTTTTGATCACGAATTTTTAGTCTTTTCTGTCCCAATTCGGACAGTTCGGGAATTCAGAATTATAAGAGATGCTTCAAAATAGTATTGTTAGTCATCGAATGTCTTGCTTTCATGAAAATATACACATGTGATCATACTTTATGCCTTCAAAATTTGTTTTACAGAGGACAATTTTCAGCCAAAATTAGTGACTTCTTGGTTGAAATTTCTAGGAGAGAAATGTGTTTCTATTTGATATTAATGGAAACTTACAAAAGTTATATTTTCTATCAACGCAAAGACATTCTAGGACTAAGAGTACCATTGTCAAGTTGATATTCAAATTCTCATGAAAATTATGAGTAGTATGTGTACATTACCTTATGCCGTTTTACCATTTACCGGTTTACCAAAAAAATTGTTTTACCAAATTGACCATCCAGTGTATGTATACTACACCCACCTTTACCATATGCCGGCTTACCATTTCATATACTAAAAAACCTAAACACCCTACATTTCATAAATTCTTACACTTAAAAAAGACCTAAATTCCCTACATTTCATAAATTCATACACCAAAAATCACCTTCAATCAATTTCCTACATTCCATCAAAAAAAGCATGTTAAAAATACCCTTATTATATAAAATAACATCCTTGTTTCGCTTAACATCCGTGTTTTTAATAGCCTCTTTTTAAATAATGTTATTTTTAGTCTAGAAAAGGGAGATAACTCTTTTTTGGAAACACAATTTCTTCGTTAAATTAACTCATTTAAACATAGGATGAGTTTAATTCTAAAACACAAACAACACAGATTCGAAGATTATTTGGGCGACGGTATCTTTTCTTCATTATTTTCTCTAGGTAAAACAATAATTCCAAAAGTAGCTAGCTTTGTTTCAAAAAACAAATCACTCATTTCAACCGGAGCGAAAGCCATCGGCTCAATTGCAGAAGCAGGAAAGAGTATAAGCGACACAGTGAAACAATCTAACGAGTTGAAAGAATTAGAGCTAATAAGAGAACCTCGAAACAGGAGATTAGAAGAAAGGAAAGGAAAAGGTTTTAAAGTTATAGGATAAAAATGATTGTCGCTCCTGCTCCAAAAACTTATTTCGGTTCAGGAGATATACAAAAATCATTGGGTTCTTCCTGAATTTCCATGGGCGAAATATTCCGGAAAAAAACATCTTCCGGGTCATAATTACACCAGTCCAGGTACTAGGTTAGATCTGCGATTAGACGAAAACGATAAACCCAAACCAGGCGAAGAACCAGTCAATAGAGTTGACGCCGCTGCGCTTAAACACGACATACTATACAGAAACAAAGACATAAACTTCAGACACGAAGCAGACAGACAAATGGTAATCGAACTTGAAAATATTCCAAATCCAACTTTCAAAGAGAGAATGCAAAGAGCATTAATCATAAAACTGTTAAAAGCAAAGATGAAATTAGGCATGGGATTAGCGGATGAAATTCACAAAGAATTTAGAAAAACTAAAAACTTTTTAAAAGTTAAAGTGTTTGAAAAAGATGAAATCCAGAAAAACTGTGGGTAGATAAAGGAAGTGAATTTATAACAAAAATATGAAATCTCTGGGATTTGAAATTTACAGCACGCATAACGAAGGTAAAGCTGTAGTAATAGAAAGATTTAATAGGACTCTAAAAAATAAATTAATCAAAAAATTCACGGAATTGAAACCCCAAAATGGCTTAAAATATTACCAGAGGTTGTAGATGAATACAGTAACAAAATTCATTCATCTATAGGTGTCACACCAACACAAGCCTCGAGTAACCCAAATATTATAAAATACGAAAATGAAATAAAGAATTTAAATATCAAACCCAAATTTAAAGTCTGAGATCGAGTTCGTATTTTCAAATATAAAAGCAAATTCGAAAAAGGTTACGTTGGATACCTGACGAACGAAATATTCATCGTTGATAAAGTAAACAACACATCACCTCCGACATATGAATTAATCGATCAAACAAAGAACAAATCATAGGAAGGTTTTATCAAAATGAACTTCAAAAAACCGACTTTTAAAAATGAATGAACTTCTCGAAGATGAAGAATTTGATAGAAGATTAAGATGTAGACAAGCATTTACGCTTTCTTAAATTTAAATTTAAATGCAAATCTATGTTCAAAATATTATTGAATGTGTTTTATTAGAATGTAATACAATTTTTTTCAAACACAAACTACGTATATATTTCAACAATACTCCTCAAAAAACCGACTTTTAAAAATGAATGAATTTCTCAATAAATATGAAACCTTACTTTGTGGATCAAATCGGTGACACTCTTCAAGGTGATTTAGATATAAACAATTTTAGCATAACTAATTTAAAGTCTTGGGAAAACGATAATGACGCTGTTCACAAGAAATATTTACGGGATCAAATAAATTCAATTGAAGTAAATAAAAACCATTTAGAAGATAAAATAAGTAATGTGAAAAGATTCTTCAAACGTCAACTAAATAATAAAAATTTTGTTAATGATTCTAAACTACAACATGAGGTAAAAAGATTAATAAGTTTTATTCAAAAAGAATTGGTCAATGTAGCGAATAAAACTGAGTTACAAAATTTAATTTCATTAATATCTAAATTAGACATTCAACATTTGATAGATAACATTCCAGATGAAAATGAAGATACGTTTCAACAGGAATTAAATGCTCTGGAAACTAAACTTAACAGTGAATTACAAAATATTAAACAACAAATATAAAACATAGATGATAGCGAAATCAAAACCTATATTCAACAACAAATACAAAACATAGATGATAGCGAAATCAAAACCTATATTCATCAACAAATACAGGACATTGATGATAGTGTTATTCAACAACAGATAACCACTATTAATAACCTAGTTTTGAAACAGGAAAAAAATATAGTCGCATTAGAAAAAAAGTTTCTCAAGAAAGAATCATATTATTTCAATCTTCCATTTAGAAATGTGAGTGATAAAGATGCTTCTATTACTGATAATATTGATAGATCAAAAGACTACGAATATAAAAAATATGGATTTACAGCAATATAAGAGTATATACTCTTTCAGGTGCTATTACTTACTCCCAAAATATTTTTAATAGAGATGATTTTACTTTTAATAGAGAAGATTTTACTTTTAAAGGAAAACTTGTAATTGAAATTAATTTTCCCATCCAGGTAAAAGTTAACAGCGACAGATAACGGTGACAACAGCCGTAACCGGTGGATTAATACTTCCAATAATTGTCCCAACTGTATTAGCTGCGTTCACTGCCGTTTAAACTTCATTTATTACTTTAGGTTTTACATCAAAAAAGAAAGCTTATTATAAAAAGAAAACAGAAAGTTTAAATACATATCTTAATAAAATATTCATTTTTTTAGAAAGACAAGAACATAACAGTTGAAGAATTAGAAGAATTCAATGAAATTTTAGATAAATTTGATGTAGAAATATCATCATTTAAAGTTAAAAATTCCTAGTTAAAAATAGATACTTAAAAAAAAGAATGGATAAAATTGGAAATTTAAACAAACCTCTATCTAAAACACTGTTTTCAAAGATATTCAAGTCAATACCTAATTTATTTTCGCGTAAATTTGACGAAGAAGATGAAGAAAAATTTAAATATCTAGTTGATAGGACAACCGATATTTTTAAAAATGGGGAGAATGAAATTAAAATATCAACCACAAATATGATTTTTTCAGAATTAATCAAGAGAATAGCTATTCTATTTAATGATTTTAAAAATAAAAGTCAAATTGAAATAAATGGTCAAATATATGAAAAGGGGGAATATAAACAAGACATGAGATTTTCTGGATTCAATGCTCAAACTTTCAAGATTAATCATTCAAAGATGCATGATAAATCTGATACCTCTGATTGGTATTTTACAGGAGAGATTATTTTCCACAAAAATAATTTTAGAATAGTAAAAAGATCTAAAACTGGCAGAGGTGGTAATCTACTTAAAAAGATAAATGAATACAAAGGCGAAAATTGTTACATACCAAGCGATGGTTATTGTTTTAAAAAATTGTAAATCACTTCATGAATAAAGACTTAACAAAGGAATTTCAAGATTTCGTCAACAGTTTTCTAAAAGCAAAAAGAAAAGGAGTGATGACAGTTGGAAGAATTAAGATATTCAACGATCGATTTAATACAAATTTTCAAATCTATAACCCTAAAGACATTCATTTTCAACCAAGATGTGTAAACATAGACTTAGATTGGGTTTTTTATTTACACAAAGAACATTTCTGTTTGATAAGAAGAAATAATAAAGCTTTAGGTATTAAAGAAATAGAAGATAATTACGATGAAAATGTATGGAGAACCTGCGGGATGATGATGCACTAACATGTTTTGCTCAGTTTAAACTAAACGTGATTTCACAACCTCATGATGATACTTTATTCGCTTGGGATTGCGAAACCTATAGTGAAAATAAAGCTATTCCTTATTGTTGTACTTTAGTCAATTTGGAAAAACTAAGGAAAAAACTAGAACTAATTAAAAGAGTATTCCCAGATTTAAAGCCAACTGATCCCATTCCAGAAGAATATTACAACAAACTCATGACTAATATAGTAGAAATATTTGTAGGAACAGATTGTTTCGATCAGATGTTGCGTCGTTTAGGAACAGTAGATCAAAAAAGACTAACCTTAATTGCTCATAACGCCAGTGGTTTTGACAACTGGATTGCACTTCAAAGCATTAGTAAACTAACACAGTGTCCACTTGTAACAGATAAAAAAATTCTATCTCTTCCTTTATCTAATCCATATACAGAAGAAAGATTGCAGAAAAAGTGGAAAAGAAAGAAAAAAGAGATAAAAATATCTGATAAAAATAACTATTTACAAAACATATGTCTCACTTGTTCCTATCAACATGAATCATCTAGTTTGGCGAAATGGGGTAATTCATCCAAGAATTTGAGAAAGATTGAGGATGTAGACATTGCAAAATACACCTTTGATAATTGGGAATCTTTAAGACACTAATGGGAACCTTACGCTAAAAGAGATACGTTTTGTCTCGGAGCTTGTTTGATAAGATACAATCAAGCAATGAAAGAAACTGTCTTCCAAAACGTTTCAAATAATCTAACGGCTTCTTCTTTATCTTTAACGGGTTGGTATTATTTATATCATTACGATAAAGAAATGGTTGAAGAAGAATGGTATGAAACTACTAGAATGGTTCCGAAACACATTGAAAAAGAAAAAATAGAAAAAGTTTATTCACATACTCATCCTTTTATAAGATATTTTATCAGACAAAGTATTAAAGGAGGAAGAGTTTCTGCTAACAGAAAATCATTTGAAACGAATAAAATGGATGAGATTTGCGCCATTTTAAAGGAGTATTTAGATACAGAACTAGAGAGTAATAACATAATAAATTTATTCAAAGAATACAGCGCTAGCACGAAAGATAAAACAGAAGTTCACGCTAAACTCAAAGAACTGAACTATTCTAAAATGATGGCATTTGATGCTAATGGTTTGTACGCCTCTGCTATGACAGAAGGTGAATATCCAAAAGCTGAAAGTGCAAGAGCGTTTCTACCAGAAGAAAATAAAGAATTTGTTAAGCTCTTTAATGAACAGAAATTCAGACCTAGAACTGCTATTTTAAAAGTCTGGTTTGAATATCCCAAAAACATGTTCTTCCAACCGATACCAGCTAAAGATAAAATCACTTTCAAGAATAGAATAGGTAAAAAGGAAACTGGCACTAAAATCAGGTTCAGAAATGGTTTCTGTCACGACGTTTTAACATCGGTCGATATTCAAGAAATAGTGAGAGCTGGTGGACGAATTATTAAAATATTAGATGGTATAGTTTAAGAAAAAATATTTAAAACTCCACCCTATAGAGATTATATTTTAATTTTGAGAGATCTAAGAAATAAATATAAATGAGAAGGTAATATCGTAGGTAGTAATTGCATGAAATTATCAGGCATTTCGTTGTATGGTAAATCTATTCAGAGGGATAGAAATACCTCATTGCATTTATGGAATGAAGAAACCTTCCGCCTTAATTACGACAAACACGTCAAGAAGTATGACAAACTCAATGAGACTCAATACATTGTGGAGATTAATGACGAAGAAAAAGAGTTTGTTCCTCCTAAGGATTCTACAAGATTAACACCCACGCATTTAGGTACATTTATATTATCTCACAGTAAAAAAATAATGAATAATTTTATTCACATGATAGATGGATTTTATAAACCGGAAATATACTATACGGATACCGATAGTTTATACATTTCGTCTAGCAATTGGGATAAATTAAATGAAGCTGGGTTGGTGTCCGAAAATGATTATTGTAAAGGAAAGAATGATTATGGTGATGGTGGAATTATATTTGGTTTATATTTAGCGCCAAAAGTTAAATACGATATCATTCTAACTTCCGATAGTGTTTTAAAAGAAAAGAAAAGAAAACGTTTAAGAGATACTCTAACTATAAGATTAAGGTAGAGGATTATATTCAATTAGCTAGTGGACATGACGTAACGAATGAATTTGATAAACCTTGGGTAAAAAGTTTTACTGATGGAATAGTTATTCCTAATGAAAAACAAACTAAAAAATTTAGAAGTTATCTGAATCTCATAAAGAGAAAAGCACCGGACGATAAAGGAATCATGTATCCTTACAGTGATAAAGAGGAGATGTGCTTGGATGAAAACTACGAATTTGATGATTTTGATTATTTTACAAACGTATCTAATGATCTATCAGAATAAATTTAGTTCTTTTGTTTTAAATGAAGTTGAATAACAATTTCCTCGTTGCCAAAATCTATAAACCTATTTTTACCATCTTTGATTTCCAGATTTATATCTTTAATCATAAAGGAATTAAGTGGTAAATACGTCGTTTGAAATGGTTTCTCTATAATTCTATATCCTATCGGTACAGTGAATGTTGGAAGACTGTAATAATCTGACGTTTGTATTTATTGAAAAATCCACCGTTAATTTGTTAAATTGCAATGTATATTTATATCATCGATATCATTCTCGATATTAGCTTTGTGTGGTGCTAAAGTGGATTGGGTTTATCAAATCCTAGTAACGTATTCAATGAATTTTCTACGTTGAAATCAACTTGACTATTATTTCTTAATATCAATTTTATTTTGTTCAGATTCAAATTACCTTCGAATTCAATATTGTTTTTACCATTGACACTTCCTCCATATTCAGATAGGTATTCGTTAATGGCTATGTATTCGTAGCTTCCTGGTAGTAAACGTATGGTTTTGAACGTAACTCCATTATCTGTTGATATTTTTATTTGATTATTTTTTTCGTTGATATTTCTAATGGAATTGTAAACAGAGAAATACTTTAATCCTAATTCATATTCTTGATTGCGATCGAATTCGTACTCATAATCTAGAGATAATTTAATGTCTGATTTATTTGAGGTGATGATGAATAGTTGTTCTTTATTTGACATTTTTAATCACGCTTTTATAATAATTTTTATCTATGATACCTTTTTCTTTTTAATATACAATTTACTTCATTATATTGTCTGTGCGATCGATGTCCTTCCTTCATTGCCCCTAATATTACTCGTAATCTATTAAGTAGTTCCTCTTTGTTATCGGATAAAAACGTTATACCTTGTCCAGATGCCACCATATCTTCGAAATCGTCTATATCTTGTGTGATTGAATCTTCAAGATTATCATCTGCTTCGTCAACTTCATATTCATCATCTTGATCAATTACTCTTATATATAGTTTAACTTTTTTTGATCCTCTTGTTTCGGGTCCCGACTTTCTTATTGCATCTAGAAATTTTTAGTATGCTACTAAATCCTTATAATCGGCAACATCCTCGCCATTCATTAAAGCTATTAATCCTCTCGATAATGTGTATATATAATCTTTTGTATCGATTATAAATTTGGGGTAACTTTACTAAATTTTATTCTATATCCATTAAACAATAAGCCATCATTATCAACGATTGGTGAAATGCTCTTTGGTAAAACTGGGTCAGGGTTTGAAAAATAATGTTTTATATCATCTAATGTCCTAATTATGATTTCATCATCTTTAACGGGATATTCTATTTAATGAGGAGAAGGAAACGGTAGTTGTTGAATTTGTTCAGGTGTGGGTTCTAATTTCCTTTTAATATCCTCTTGAGATTTTAATATGGGTTGAAATAGAGTTTGTAGATTTTCCGTTAATCCGAGTTGTTGTAATCTGTTATTTTCAACTTCGGTCTTTATTTTATTCTTAGCTTTGATATATTCTTTATTTCTTTTTAAAATATTATTCCAATTATCCATTTTTAAAAAAATAAAATTTAACAAATGTCTGTCATAACTCTTTCATCAGCAGGTTTTCTAGTATTAACGAATATATATCCATGATCATCTGGGTTTTTCCATTGAGCTTTACAAACCTTTTTAAATGCATCTCTGTCCATTCCGTTATTTATCGACTGAATGATTTGAGATAAATCTTTATCGTTTAATTCAAATAATAAAAAACAATTTGCATTTTTTCTAATAAATATAGAATCCATCCCGTAAAAAGATTGGGATTGATATATGCAGTGACAGTTGTGATGTCTTCCCTTCGTGAAGAATTCTTGTTGAACAGCTTGATTTCTTTGCGCTACGCAGTCGTCAAACAATATTAAGTTCTTTCGTTTGCTATCAATATTAGACAAGTCTAGGTCATTAACATTTTTCGTAAGAAAAACTTTTATATCCGTTGGGTTCTTTCCTTCGATGTAGTTATCTAAGATATCTTTTATTTCCACTACTTCTTCGTTTTCTCGTAATATTGAAATAGGTCTTGAACATCTTTCTTTGGTAGATATTCTAAAGCTTTGAGAAATTGATAATACGATTGCTCTGGTGTTGTTGTGATATACAAAGAATCGAAATCTAAAAGTTTTGGTGTTGTCAACATGTTAAAAGTGAGATGAGTTTTTCCAGAACCAGAACTACCGCATATGCACATGAGCATTGGGTTATTAGGAAATATTAAATTAAATTTTTTGCCCATTTTTTATTATTTTAATTTGTTCCAAAAATAACTCCTTCTCCTTTATACTTTGAAAGAAATATTCCTTCTCCAGTGTGTATATTTTTTAAAAATATTCCATTACCCTTTTGTTTGACTTTGCTATACTATCTACTAATTTATTTAATCCTTGTTTAACAGTTTTCTTGGTTTCTTCACTAAATCTTTTTCCAAATTCTTTCTTTGTGCCTATCATATCTCCCACTCCTGAACCTTTCTTTTCCCTTTTAGGTTTTTTAACCTCTGCTGCCAACTTTTCCATTTTTAAATTATGTCTATGTTCTTCGGCTGCTTTCTTTTCTTCGGCAGCAGCTGTTACTTCAGCTGCTTTCTTATCGTTGGCAGCTTTTATTCCACCAGCTGTAGCACCAGCCACTGTAGCCGTCGTGGAAATACCAGCAAATATTAAAGGTAGGGAAAATAAAAATCCACCTTTTTTTACATTCGCGTCAATTCTTTCTAAATCTATATCGTCTCTGACTTTACAATATTTGTATTTATCAATAAGTTTTTTAGTTATACTGATTTTTTTACCGTTGAAAGTTATTACAGTTGGGGAATCTGTTTCAACAGCGTCTATTATTTTCATAGCTAAAGTTTCTACTTTCATTTTTAAGGGTGTATTTTTTACTCAATTCTTATCATTCTTCTATCTGCTATTTTAATTAAATGTTTTGCTTCTTCCAATAATAAACAATAACCTGTTACATCTCCTTGTGTTTTTTCAATATGAATATTTATGTTCACTCCTGTTTTGAAAAGATCTTCTTGGTGAGCTGATAGATCAACAGAAGATTGGATGATTAAGTGCAAAATCTACATATTCAAACTGAGGTGGATTTCCAAATAATTCACACGTTTTTATAGTTTCTATACAATTCATTATAATCCTTTGTGGTTGGATTAATTGTTAAAGGTTGGTTAGGATAATTATCGTTGTTTAATCTTACTTGAACTTTATGGATTAAAGGATTTTGAGTTTGGTTCATTGCCACCCTAAAGACATTATTGTTATTCGTTTGAGAATCTGGTAAGTTCTTTAAACCAACCATTAAATATCTTGCTGGTTTAATAGTGTTAGTGATTGGCCATGTGGTGGATTCTCCCGTTAAAGTCATGCCACCTACTGTGTTACGATGAAGAAAAGCTATTTCAATATCTTTAGTTAATGAGTTGAATATTCTCGTTTCTACTTCAATTGATGGTGTTATTACAGGTATGAAAAATTGGAGATTCGTTATTTCTAATTTTGCATCTGAACCATTTTCTCCAAAGAATATCTTATCGTCGTTGATTTCTCTTTGTAGATGAATTTTATATGGTAACCCTATGGAAACTTTTCTATGCTCCAACAGACCGAATAAAGGATATAATTTCCAATTTATGTAATTACCCCTATTATTCTCAACAATATTATTGTACTGAAGTACTTGTTTTTCAAATCTATGATTAGCTGCTCGTGCTACTCTTTCTATTGTGTTTCGAGCAACAACTCTCACTCTATCCAAATCAGCATCATTTGCAACATTTCTTACAGGTTCTTTTAAAACGCTTCCATCACCAACATCGGGTATCAAACCTGAGACTGAATCGAAATCTTTAGGATATAAAACTGTTTTCAACATTGTGTCGAATTCCCCAGGGTGTTTAATTGTTTCTATCGGATTTGAACCAGCTTCCAAAACCATCTCGCTAAACAAAGATGGAAAGAAATTGTTTTCTAACGTTGTATTAGTTTGAGGAACTTGATTCTGAGTTCCATCTTTAATGTTGAAATCGCATCTGAAATAAGCATCTGAAAGAAGCAACCAATTCGATAATGAATTTATTTCGAAGATAATTCTACCACCATCATTCAATTGAGATTTAGAACCAACAGTCGGTGAGATGATAATATAATCCTCTTTTTTCTTGTTAAATGAATAACGAATCGGATCGTATAATCTAAAAATTGGATCTAGTATTTTATTTGCCATTTTTAAGGTTTAAAATTTGAGTAGAAAATTGTTTTTCCCAAAACATTATTTTAAAACCAGATGTTATTTTATATAAGGGTATTCTTAATATGCTTTTTTTGATGGAATGTAGGAAATTGATTGAAGGTGTTTTTTGGTGTATGAATTTATGAAATGTAGGGAATTTAGGTCTTTTTTAAGTGTAAGTATTTATGAAATGTAGGGTGTTTAGGTTTTTTTAGTATATGAAATTGTAAGTCGGCATATGGTAAAGGGTGGTGTAGTATACATACACTGGAAGGTCAATTCGGTACAAAAAATTTTGGTAAACCGGTAAATGGTAAAACGGCATAAGGTAATGTACACATACTACTATTATGACAAAAATTCAAAAAACTTTTTAACTTGCACAGACAATATTTTAAGACCTATTCTCAATGAAAACGTGGTTTCATGAATGGTTTGAGTTATTGCCCTTGACTTAATAAAAATGCTTCAAAATTTGTTCGTTAGCACAATAGAAGAAAATTTGTTTTATAAAAAATTTAGGCATTTCCCATAGCTACCAGTGTTACCTTACCTGGAAAGCTATGTAATTTTCATTCGTAATTTGTCTATTTAAGTTACAACACAAGGGCAGTCAGTTCAATCCAAAACCAACCCGTTAGTTATAGTGATGATTGAGATGTTCCTATAGTTTCTTCAAGATCAGAACCAGAGAGGACAGGAGAATCATCGCATATAAGTTTTTGCTGGAAAAGGTAAATAAAATATTTGAAATTTGCAAACTTTTTTATATCTGGATTCATATGAATTTGAAAACCTGACACAGATTTAATTTTGTTTGGGTTCTGTTATTTACCCAACCTCAAACTGCATAAGTAGAAATTAATTGTTATTATTGTATTCCAAAATATGGTGTGATTAGAGCTTATAAGCAGCCTAGCACCGTTATCTTCACCCGAAATAATCGCAAGTACAACCTTAAGAAAATATATGGCTACAAAAACTCAGGTATGTATAATACACTTAAAAACTAGTGAATTATTTTGTGATTAATAGTTCTAGAGAAAGTAGCTTAAAATGCTTAAATAATTGTACAGCTATCAGGTCAATAAGGTTAAATAGTGGTGTAATTATTGAAATCTAGATGACAATTTCAGACTATAGGATATATTTTAGCATCAAAGTTATCAAAAATGTACTGAATGGCAAATGTAATGTAGAAGCTTCAGGTCTTTGATAATTATAACAATTATTATTGGTCATTTTTTTGTAATGTAATTGCTATTACAGGTTTAAGATCTCAAACAAAATAAGATGACATGGGTATTAGACCATCTTGGACCATCATTCTCTATATAAATGTATCTTCCTATTCGGTGTATCTTGTTAGTTACCTCATAGACCATCTGCTTTTAACAATGCATCTTGCAGCTTACATCTTTGCTCATTATTACAAGCATATTGAACATAAAGATTACGGGGGAAGGAAGTATCAAAAAGTTTTGTCAAAAAAGGTTAGCAGTGTTACAGTGGTTTGATTAGGACACCCTTTGTTTTTATATTTTCTATTTAATTTTTAGGAATCCTAATTATTTAATCCTGTAATTTTTTAATTTTCTTATGTGAGTCATGTGATCCCTGGTGATTGCAAACTAAAATTAAGAATACCACAGGATTAAATAGGAAATACAAAAACATCTAGAAAAAACGCAGATAGCAAAATTGTTTCTTATTCAAGACACAAATCAAGTTGGGCGTTTTAAGGATAAGTGAAGTTCAAATGGAAGGTAATAATTTTTTCATGATACATGTATGATAACAGTTAATCATTGTGTAGAAGTATATTAGTAGAAAATGACTGTCAAATCTTTATTGTTATAGCAATCCATAGACAGCTTTTATGTTAATAACAATACAGAGAGATAGTGGACCACAGCCATATACGCCCACCATGGCATGCGGAGGTAAATATTCAAGATTTTGGGGCAAGGGCAATAACTCTGCTTCAAACAGTCGAAAATAGCTCAAATTCGAACTCGGTCTTCGTTTTATGAATATGTTTACACTTGATTCCAACAAAAAATCTAGTTTTTAGAGCGTTAACAAGCAAATGTTGAAGGACGGACCAACCGATAGGGGTGCCGATAATATACGTCCACATAGAGAGATGTGGGCGTATAAAAATTCGAACTTGACCTTCGTTTCATGAATATGTATGCACATACCGAATTTCATTTGATTCCTTCGAACACTAGTTTTTAGAGTGTTTACGAGCAATTGATGTTGATAGAAGCACTTACTGTATAGAGGTTAAAGGGCGATAACTCCTCAAAACTGACGTAAGAGGCCTAAATCTTGAAAAAGCCATAAATTTAATCAGAAGTAAACTAAACTTCCTCAAACTTTTCGATTTAGGCATCCATTTTAAGTTTCATCAAAATTGGTTGAAAACTAAGAGAGTAAAAGCATTCAAGACTTTCGGGAAAGGGCAATAACTCTGCTTTAACAGTCGAAAACAGCTCAAATTCGAACTTGATGTTCGTTTTATGAATATGTATACACATACCGAATTTCATTTGATTCCATCAAAAAATGATCGTTTACAAGCAAATGTTGACAGAGCGACCGACTGACAGGGGTGCCGACAATATGCAACCTTTTCAAGAACAAGGGCAATAACTCATACTAAATATTTTTCAATTCTTCTGATTTGCATTAGGGTTCATCCTTGGGTGATTACGAACATTCACACCAAGTTTCATTAAAGCTAAAAATTGAACTCGTTTTCAAGATCAAGGGCAATAATTCATACTAAATATTTTTCAATTTTTCTGATTTTCTATAGAGTTTATCCTTGGGTGATAACAAACACTCATGCCAAGTTTTGTCAAAATCCATCAAGAATTGTGCCTTCTAGAGTATTTACGAGCTAAAAATTGAACGCGTTTTCAAGAACAAGGGAAATAACTAATACTAAATATTTTTCATTTTTTTTGATTTTCGATAGGGTTTATCCTTGGGTCATTACAAACACTCACACCAAGTTTCGTCAAAATCCATCAAGAATTATGCGTTCTAGAGTGTTTACAAGCTAAAATTGAACGCGTTTTCAAGAACAAGGGCAATAACTCATACTAAATATTTTTCAATTTTTCTGATTTTCGATAGGGTATATCTTTGGGCGATAACGAACACTCATACCAAGTTTCATCAAAATCCTTCATGAATTGCACGTTCTAGAGTGTTTACGAGCGTTTCAAGAACAAAGGCAATAACGCATAGTAAATATTTTTCGATTCGTCTGATTTTCAATAGGGTTCATCCTTGGTTGATTACAAACAACCATACCAAATTTCGTCGAAATCAGTCAAGAATTGTGCCTTGTAGAGTGTTTACGAGCAATTGTGGACGTACGGACGGACCGACGGAAAGAGGTGACAGCAATATACGCCCCCCCCATTTCATGTGGGCGTATAAAAAGGATGTTTTGAAAAAAAAATTTTTTAGAATTGTTTATATGTTAAACAAACTGTAAAAAAGCGAAATGGCCATATAAGAATTATTAATTAATAATCTCTTAAAGGGCCATTTTGCTTTTTTATACGCCCCAGCGAATATGTTGTCGTATATTGTCGTCTTTCCTTCCATCAACATTTCTTGTCAGCACTACAGAGACAGTTTTTTTTGATGAAACTTGGTTCGAAGTTGACGTATATTTGTTGAATGGGTTACTGCCCTTAAATTTGTTTGTGAGCACAATAGAAGTTACCGTTATCAACCGATTTTAACTTGGTGTCATCATTGGTATTAAAAAAATCTTAGACAAGTTCTAACTTAACGCAGCTTTTGAGTTATTGCCCTTGACTTCAATAAATTTTGATGAAACTTGTGTGATCGTTGGAATTTGGTGAATGTTTTTGTGTTTTGATATAATATATATTATCGTTAATTAAGATATTATCAATTCTGACAGCTGCCAGTGGGCATATGTTACCTCTTCCTCTACAGTAGTTTTCTAACATTGTTCAAAAAGCAAAACAAACTTAAAAACCTTAGGTAATACTTTAAATGATTTTACATTTAAATATTTTAACGCTGGATTTTTTTAGTTTTAGTTTTTTTCATATTAACTAGTTAATTTTTAGGAATCCTAATTATTTAATCCTGTGGAATTATTTTTTAATTTTCTTATGCGAGTCATGTGATCCCTGGCCACAGGATTAAATAGGAAATACAAAAACATCAATAATAATTTCAGAATATTGAATAGAAAATCGAAAACAAAAATATTAAACAGAAAAAAGGAAAACAAAACAGTGTCCTAAATGAACCACGGTACATAGCTGAATAATAAAGTGAAATTACAAATTTGGAATAGATATAGGTGGTAATATTAGTTGATACGTATTATTTACTGATTGAAGTTTATCGTTATAGAGCTACAAGTGAAAATTATTCACAAGTTAATCAAACAGAATTAATAAGCTCATTCTAATTTGATTGTTTGTTTTACAGCAACTTTATTCTTTTTTAAACATGTAAGTTTTAAATTTAATTAAAGTTATTTTAGCATCCGAGTTAAATCGATGTAATACTAAGTTTTGAATCTAATAGCCTTATCCGTTACAACAACAAAATGCTGAATTATTAGCTTTTTTTTTTACTTTGCTGACTAGCAGGCAAAACATTCCCCAGCACACTTCGGGATTTTTGTGCATAGTAGTTGGTTTCACAATTTGAATTTTCAACTGTATTCAGTCAACCAGTTTTCCAACTGTTCAAATATGTGATAATAATGATCTATTTCTTATCCTTGTTGAAAAGCTGTTTAGTAGATAAATGGGGTTCTCTTAATTTGAGAATCATGAGAACTCACTCATATATACCAGGGGCCAGACAAGATAGACAACCATAACACGAGAAATTACTTTCACATCATACTTTCTGAAATCCTTTTTCTGAGGAATCGTTGATGGTGAAGAAAAACTCATGCAAATTTATTTCTAACAAACCTG